TAAAAATGGTAAGGCCACTTAAATTAATTTACTTACTCGGTGCCATATCAATGAATCTGCCAAAAGGATTACTTTTTTTTTTAATAAGGCAAGAAAAAAAATAGTAGCAATTCATCTGGAGGAACAAAAGGTGAAGAATCTCAGGGAAAATAATGAAAAGAGTGGGAAGGAAAGGTTCCTAGCACCACCAGATTTTAAAGGACACTACAAAGCTGTAAAGACCGAAACTCTTTGGTCCTGGTTGAAAAATAGAGAAGCTGGTAAATGATTTAAACCAACATACAACACCACGTACCACAGTGAGTCCAAATGGATTACATGACCTAGATAGAAAAGATCACATCATGAACAAATTACAGGAGCACGGAAAGAGATAGCTTTCTTAATTACGGATAAGAGAAGAGTTCTTAACTAAACAAAAGATAGAATCGCAGGAGGTAAAGTTGATAGTTTTCATTACGCAAAACTGAAAAACTTGCACAAACAAAATCAGTGCACCAAAATTAGAAGGGAAGCACTTAACTGGGAGGGGGGAAAACCTTTCAACAGATCTGACATCCTGGATATATATCGGGAATGGATTCCAATATATAAAAAGAGTTAAATGGTTGGAGTTTATATGAATAGGCAGTTATCAAGGGAAGAAATCCAAGCTATCAAAAATCATATCCCACCCCTAAAAAATGTTCCAAAAGTCATTAATAATAATAATATTCAAATTAAAGCAACGTTAAGCTTTCACTTTCCACCAATCCAATTATCAGAGATGACAAAAATAACGAAAAATGACAAATGTTGGAGAAACTGGAAATCCAGGCACATTAGTGCACTGTTAGAGGAGCAGCGAATTATTCCAGCCCTTCTGGAAAGCAATTTAGAAGTATTCCCCCAAAAGTCACTAAGCTGTATGTATCCCAGAGGAGAGCTCATTAATAGAATAGCACTGTATTATAAGAAACAAAGGAACAGATTCAGAAAAACGTGAGAAGACTTGTGTGAACTGATACAGACCGAAATGGAAGAGAACCAAGAAAACGGTTTGTATGATAAAAATGACATTTTAAAGGAAAACAAGTGAAAAGGACTTAAGAACTATAATTAATGGAATCACAGCCCATGACTCCAGAGGATAGATGATGGAACCTGCTACCACAGGGTAGTGGACTACGAGTGCCAGATGAAGCTGTGTTTCCAGACATGGGAAACCAGTGTTCATGATGGCAAAAATAAAAGGAAAGACAGTCACCAAAAATGCCCCTAGGTCAGTCCAGAGGAAACACAGACAACAAGACAGCTTTGAGACTATCAGATTGGCTTTATTGTTAAGTTGTGTGTAATTGCAGTTTGCCAATTTCTGTGCCACCTTCTTTTTCTGTTCTGTGTGCTATTGTTTGCTTGTGTTTGTCAGGTTCAGGATAACAAAAAAAAAAATATTTAAAATATCCTGAACCTCAGAGAGGGTTGGTGCTGAGGCACCCTGATAGTCTTTGGTCTTAGGGGTCAAGGCAGATACCTCCAGGATCAGAATTCTCAGAGCTGTGTGCTGGGAGACCTGCATTCCAAAATGTTTGTCACCAGGCCACCTACACATTAGTGGCTGCAGATACCTGGGGCTGCCTGTCTGCAGTGGATATCACCGTAATCCCCAGTTAGCCAAGCAGCAGCTGGCATGAGCTTGGGGCCCGAGTGCCTCTCCTGCTCCACAGTGCCAGCGGTCAAGGGCATCAGTCTACCCAAGGCTAGCATTTCCACTTTCCCTCTGGCCGTGGGAGGCAGTCCTCCCAAGTCAAAGAGTCTACAGGTTGTCCTCAGCTAGGTGAGAGAGATTATGAAAAACCAAAATGCCAGGACTTTGGGACCATTCCTTTCATGAAGAAGGGGTCAGACCCAAAGAGACCTGCAGGGGTGTGCATCCTGGGAATGTGGGTGTGGGCCAGGATTCAGGCTGTGGTGTCCCTGAGCATGCGTGAGTCGTTCAGGCCGTAAGAGGATCCGGTTTGAAGAAGATAAGACGGGCGATGGGAAGACAGCCATCTTACCTTGTAGAGGAGGGGGCAGGCTCCGAGCCAGGAGGCCCAAGAGAAAGCCGCAGGCGTGGCGGCGAGGCCTTCTTGACGATTAGAAACGGCTGAAGATGCCGTGGGCTGCTTTAATGACGGGGGGGGCTCCCCTTCTCTAGTTTTTCTTTTTTAATTTAACAAAAACCTACTTCTTCTCCCACCCACCAGAAGACAGGATCTCTCAATGAAACAGATATTAAGCACCTGCTATGCACTGGAAGGAAGGGGAAGTGCCTTGGAAAAATGCACCAAATCAAGTAAAACAGACCCTTGCCTGGGCCACATGTGGGAAGGCTCTGGGCTCCGGCCAGGGTCAGACTCGATGCCCGTGGACATCCTCCATGACTTCGGGAGGTTCTGGGCGCCGCCGTTTTCACCTCTGCCCCAGGAGCAGGTGGGGAGGGGCGTTGGCTCAACTCCGCAGCACACGCATCACACGCATCGCCTGGTTTGGGCCTCTTACCTGCCGCAGGCCTTGTGGTCCCATTTTATAGAGGAGGACAGTGGAGTCGGGGGAGGTGGTGCCACGCCATGCCCAGTTTTGCTGTCAGTAAGTGTCAAGGCTGGGAGCTGAGCTGTGTCCGTCCCGGCTCTAGGACAAGCCTCCTAACAAAACTCTGATTCTGTCCCCACCTCCAGAAACTCGGCCTTGAGGCCCTCCTGCCTCCCTTTCAGGGCTGTTTGCAGGAAAGCATTTAACCACAAAAACCTGACTATGCCCCAACGCCCTTGTGGGTGAGGAAGGGGCAGGAGCCCAGGATGAAAAGCCTGAGGGCCCACGTGGGATTCTCTCATGCCACTTCCCCATTCGTAAACTGAAGGTGCCCCTTCAGGCTCTAGAACCCAGGGTCCTCCTTTGCAGAACTCACACTCGCCTCCGGTATACCTGTACCTGCCAGTGGTCAATGGAAAGAGCCTGGTGTGGTCTCACCACCTCCCTCTCTCAGGGAGCGTCCAGAAGCATTACTTCCCTTCTGCAGCTGTGAATTTTCCCAGAGTGGCCACTGAGAACTGTGGTCAGTGGCACCGATCTGGCCACGCACAGATGCCGCACTCGGGCCCCCAGGAGGCCGTGGATCTCCTCCAGCTCCTGGATGAAATGGCCTTGTTGGGGCAGGTCCATTCGAGCATCCCAGGAAAGGCAACCTTCTCTTTCTGGCCGAAGCCAGAAGCATTGCCAGGGTTTCGTTGTCAGCGACTTAAGCATCACAGAAATGTGAAAGCAATTGACCCCCCCCAAATAAATCAAAAGCTTAGTTTTTATTCAGCTTAATTTGATCCCCTTCCCTCCTGGTGTCACTGGATGTCTCCTGCAATGGCAAGTCTCCCATGTGAAATGTGCTAGGCCTGTGACCCTGTGATGAGGCTGTAGATGGCTTCACTGCCACCAGGGCAGGGGGGCCAGACAGATGGCCTTGGGACGGGGCGCAAGTCTGCAGAGGAAGCTGGAGCTGCGTGAAACGGGGCCTCCTATGAGGGGACGTCTGCGGGCAGGTGGGCGTTTAGAGGAACCGTCTGGATGTTCCACGCTTGCCCTGAGGAGATGAGGAAAAGGACAAGCTAGCCCCCTCCATACCGAGAGGAATGCAGTGTGACCTGGTCCCCCTCTCTGTCCCAGAGTGGAGCGCGGGGGCCTCGTGGCCGCTGGCAAAGTTTCCTCTGGGCTGCCCTGACACTCGTCGCCTGACCCCGTCTCTGGCGCGGGGCTGTCTCCTTAGCCGGGAAGGACCCAGCTTGTCTCCAGGGCCCCGCTCACAGCCTGATCTCATATTCCAGGGGCAGTCTTAGAGACCCTGGGGAGCCCCGAAGGAGGACAGACGGACCCACTGTGAATCTCTGCCCTTCCTTGGGCTCCTTTGCTTTATCTTTGCTTCTCTGTCCCTGCTGGGGATCGCTCCCAGATGCAGATGCTCGTGACCACCGATAGTGTATGCAGCATTCTGCAACCCTGGTCTCCCACCTGCGCCTTGGCCAGTGGGTCAGTGAGAGTGCCACAATCTGCTCGCTGAGCGTCCTCACTGCCCCGTCAGGGTGGCCGTGCTGTGCCGGGCAGAGGGAGGAGTTGGGGGCTGCAGCCCTCGAGCTGGCAGGAGTGGGTGGGCCTTGGGGGGCTGCCCCTTCAGTGCAGGTGGTTCAGGTAGAGGCTTTTCCCACAAATAATTAACGTGGGCAAGTAGCCGCTAAATGCACATTTCAGGAATGATTTATGAGGCAGCGGAAGGGATCTCATCTCGCTGGGAACAGTCACCATCCTCCTAGTGGTATCAGCACAGCTGTGAGATGGGACATGATTAATGAATGTGGGCAAACACGAAGGGAGCCGTCGGGAAGGGGGGCCTGCCTTCCTGGCCCCCATCCTCTGGTCTCCCACCCCTCACCATCCACACACACCCTGGAAGATCTCCACTGGCAAAGCTCTTTGCGCTGGATCTCAGTGAGCATCAGGTTCACCAGTTTGTGTCCGTTTAAACAGTGTTTAAATCTGTGAAAGCCGAGCTGACCCCAGAACTCATCTCCATTTAAAACCTTGGCACAGTCGGGGAGTTTTTTAAAAGCTCCCCCGTGTCTGCCACCCAGCACACACGTAGACAGGCTTTTGTGGGCTGCCAAGGCACCCCCCAGATGCGCCCTCAGGGCCACTTGGTCCATGCTGGTCCAGGTGCTTCTTGGGGGCTCACTCAGAGCAGCCCCTGTGTGTCTGTAGGGGAAGGGAGGAGGGTCCCTCTAGGATAGGTGTCAGAGCCAGCCCCAGCCTCCCTGGTGGGGGTACTGCCAGAGGGGCCTGGGTGGTGATCGTCCTGACTGGGAGGCCACCCTTTCCCGTCCCTGGGCCTGAGCCCAGGTGCCTTTGCTACCACGGTGCCTCCTTCCTGGGCTCAACCTCCAAGCAGCCTCTCCCTAGTGACGGCTCACTTGGGCATCTTCTCTTTTCTCCCATAGCTCCTGGAATTCGACAAAGAGCTGTCTGTCTTTAAAGACAAGTTGTATGAACTGGACATCTCATTTCCTCCCAGGTAAATGAGCTTCTTTGTATTTCCTGTTGTGGCTGTCTACTGCAGAGGCCCCTGGGCCATCCCATTCTGGAGCATCCTTTCCCAAGGCGCAGAAGAGAAAGACGCTAGGGGCCTGGGGATGCCTTCCTGGGGGAAGGATGTTCTCACGGGAGAGAAGGTGACCTGCTGAGCTTAACTGAAAGGCCATGAACTTTTTAAAAAATACTTTGATAAGCATACTTCAGGTAATCAGCTTTCTTTGTAACCCTAGGTATTTTATGCATTTAAAAATACAATTCTGAGATGAGGTCCTTAAGCTTCCCCAGACTGCCCAAGGGGTCTTTGTTGCCCCCCCCCCCCCCCCCCGCAAAAGAGGTTAAGAACCCTTGGTCCGGAGCTTGAAGGAAGGAAGATGGAGGAGAGTTTTCTTTGGAAACCACAGCGGGTGTTTCCGCTCTGGGACGGGGTTAAGATGTTCTGTTCTAGTCAATAGGCTGGCTATACACACACCACATAGACGAGTGTACACATGCATGCACACACACATACACATGTGCATGCACACACATGCACACGTGCACACACACGCACACCCCTATGTTGCAGCAGAGAGAGGAAGAGACCGGGAGGACCTCAACTGCCTTGGGGGCTTCCAGGAACCCTCATGAATGGAGGACTTTGGAGACTGAGTTCTAGTTAAGTCATTTTTAAGTAAAGCGAGAAACAGTCCACCAATGAGAACATGGCACATGGACTCCCTCTTCCTAGAGGAAAGTGTGACTTGTCAGGATCACATAGGTTTTATGCCCAGGTGCTCTGACTCCAAAACTAGCACTAGGGTAAACTGAGTCCTGGGTCACTTATCTGAAGGAACTGAGGAGGTATGGACTTGGGGCAGGCGAGTAAACCAGAGAGTTTTGGAGGAAGTGATCAGGATGGAGAAGGGCCTGGAGAAGAGGTGCTTGGGGGAGATGCCGTAGTAGGCATATATTGGAAAGGGGCATCTGGCTTTGAGGCCAGGGGGCCTGCCCTGTGGCAGAGGGGAGCCACAAATGTAAGATGGACTTCCAGGAGGACTTTGCCCAATGGCGGCGTTGATTCCTCCTCTTCAGAAGGAGAAGGAATAAGCATTTATTAAGCGCCTGCTGTGTTCCAGGTGCTGTGCTGTGCGCTTCACAAATATTATCTCATTGATCCTCACGACAGCCCTGGAAAGGGCTACTAGCTCATTTTACAGTTGAGGAAACTGAGGCAATTAGAGGTTAAGAAACTTACCCGTGGCCCTGCAGCTAGGAGGTGTCTGAGGCCAGATTTGAACTCAGGTCTTCCTGTGTCCAGGACCAGCACTCTGGCCACTGCACCACCCGGCTGGCTGCCTGTGGCTTTTATTTCCAGACGTTGTATTCGTGTCCAGCCCTTGGGGGCCTCAGCTCTGGGGCAGGGAAGACCTGGGAGAGGAGGGGAGGTGATTCTCAAGCAGAAATACTCTGCCTGAGGAGAGTGTGTTATTCATGGCTCATACCTGAGCCAGTCCAGTCAGCCCCACTCTGCTTAAGCCTGTGGCAGGTGGAGGGGAGCTGGACCCTGCCTTCGTCTCCAGCACAGGCCACGCCCCCTCCTGAGATGCTCGGAGCTCAGGGGGAGTGCTGGGCTCCCCCCTACCCCCGTCCACCCTTTCCCCCTCCCTCGGCCCTTCAGCTCTTCCCCAGGGAGTCACGGCCAGGGCATTTTACAGGCTCGGAGCAGTCTATTTTAAATAGCCATTCCAGTAAGGGCTACACTTTCTGCCCAGGGAAGGGTCGCACTGACTGCCGAGCCCAGAGCCCAGGAGCCCCGAGATGATGCCAAAAACGTTAGAAAGAGCAGAGGTGACCGCTGGCCCCCAGGCCTCCCACTGGCCCCACCTCCCACCAGGGTGCTGATTCCTCCTCCTCTGTAAGGCTGGGCTTTTGTGGAGACCCCCAGGCCCCCTGGGAACTCTGGCCACGGGGCTCCCGGGTGGCCACCAGACTTTCTGTTCCCTTCCAGTAACGGTATCATCTGATATTTTTAAAGCATGGAAAATGGAAATATCCTGCAGCTGGGCCAGGCTTCATGCCCTCCAGGATGGCAAGGTCATTTCAGGTGGTCAGAGAGCATATTGGGTCGGCCTGCCAGAGGAGTGGGGGACCACTAGGACAGGATGGGGTATACACTGTCAGATGAGCTCCTCTCCATCTTTTCTTCTCTCCTTCCTTCTCTGTCTCTGCATCTCTCTCTATGTCTCTGTGTCTTCCTCCTCTTTCTATCTCTCTGTCTCTCCCCCTCTCTCTCTGTCTCTGTCTCTCTCCTCCCCCCTCCCCTACCCAGGTGCTGTGGCTACTCTGTTTCTCTCCATAAGAAGGGAGGCTTGGGATGGGGGGAGAAAAGTGTGTTCAGAAAGGTCTGTGGCTTCCCGACAGAGTTTGCTCTCAGAGGAGGGACTGCTGGGCTGAGGACCACTGGGGCTCTGCAGGAGAAGGGCTGCTCGGGTCGTGCCAGGAGGGCTGTGACGGCTTCCATTTCAGGGAGCTGTTGGTGAAGCTCTTTCACCAGCAATATGAGTGTACCGGTCAGGAGCAGTAGCGGCTGTGAACCTGCCCCTCTGTTTCAGAAGCGGCGTGGGATTAGGACAAGAAAGCGACGGGGGCGTTGGAGGTCTTGACGCACAGATTCCGTGGCCAGGCATGTCGCCCCCAGAAGGGCCCCCTAGCCAGCCAAGCATCGCCCTGGCGCTGGGTGCCCAAGCAGAGCGCCCGTCCTCAGGGCACAGACAAGTCGATACCTGAATGGGCAGAGCCGGGAGAGGGTCTCTATTGGTCAGTCCCTGTGGGCTGACCGCCAAGGGGGCCCCTTTAGGGGCCCACAGCCCCACACAGCTGCTCAGACCCGTTCCTAAGTCAGCTGGGGGCGGGGGTGGGGGGTCACTTGGTGCTTTCTGAGCTGGATGCCCCAGGAACCGGGCAGGACCAGCCTTGCCCAGGGGGCTCTGTTCTGGCCAGGCAGGGAGGAGATGGCATAGCAAGGAATCTGCTTATTCAAAGAAACGGGTCAGTTTTCACAGGTGGGAGAGCCAGCACCAGCCAGCCCAGGGAAAGGCTGCCGTCAGGGCTCTGGCCTGTTTGCACTTGGCTCAGTCCTTTCCAAGACTCACTTTATAATCTTTAAAGCGTGAGAGTTGGCTTGATTTCTCAGGCCCAGCTTTGCTTTGATCTCAGTTTTAATCCTCTGTGCACCTTGGGCCTGCGGCGCCCCACAACCTTGGCAGCACGTTGGGCAGGAAAGACGCCAGGCAGGGCATCTGGCCCTGCTCCTTATTGCCTCTGGACAAGCGTGGGTGAGCCAGCGCTGCCCTCTGGGCCTCGGACACAGGCGGGGAGGCCTGGGGGACCTGGTGCCCTACAGCAGAGTCAGGAAGGGGATGCCGGGGCTGTAGTAGCTGCTCCTACTGGTGGGGATGCTCAGGGAGTCAGTCAGCAGCCCAGGCTGAGAGTGTGGCCAGAGTGGGTAGAACAGCCCCCAAGCCCTAGGAATGCTGGTACCAACGAGAGCGGAGAGGGGAACGAAGAGCTGTCCCCCTCCCTCCAGTCACAGAGTCCTCCAGCAGAGGCATGCGGTCAATCAGAGCCTGAGGGAGGCCTGAGAGTCGGGGGGGAGGGGAGGTGGGCAGTCAGGGCCCAGCCTTGGTGGGGGGGGAACGTGGTCAGTCAGAACCTGCACCGAGCCCAAGAGTCGGGGGGGGGAGGGGACGTGGGCAGTCAGGGCCTGCGCCAGGTCCCAGAGTTGGGGGTGGGTGGGGTCAGAGAAATGCAGTCAGTCAGGGTCCGTGCCAGGCCCTGGAGTCAGACTTTCCTGGAGGGCATTATTTATAATTGGCAAAAGAAGACGAGATAAGGCCCACAATGGCACAGTGCTTGGGACGCTCTGACATGGGACATTGGCTTTTAGAATTTATAAGAATTTAGCATTTTGGAAGAAAATTTTTACCTCCTTTACTATGTCTGAATGGCCTCTGCTTTTAGGACCTCAACTCTGAACCCCGTGGTCTTCTGACTACCCTGAGATCCAGGGGCAGAGGGGCCCCTTGGCCCCTCTAGGTGACCTGCCCTGGAGATTGCCAGGATTTAGCCCAGAAAGGGCAGAGGGAGCCCCTGCCAGGAGCTGCCTGTGGCCTTCTTCCTCCTCTTCCTCCTGCTCTGCCTTGTACCGGAAAATGACCCTCCTAAGTAAGAATCAGGAACCGGAGGAAGCCATCAGATCCCTTCTGGGCCCCTGCCCGAGGCCTCTGCTGAAGACCAAGACGTGTCTGATCATGGGTGACCCATCCCTTCTGTCACCAGCAGCTAGTCAGAGGATTCTGGGGTCTGAGGGCGGCTGCCCTGGATGCCGGGGTCCCGGGGCTAGCAGCTTCATCAGTAGCGGCCCTGGGTCAGTCAGTCTGGGGAAACAGCATCTCCCCAGATTCTCCAGGCACAGCTGGAGCCACAAACTGCCCATCAGCTGGCCTCCACGTAAATGTCCCTTTCCCTCCATGCCCTCTCTGAGCGAGTCTTTGGGCATTGGAGGGCTGTCTGTCGGAAGGGCCTACCCCTGCTGGGCTGGGAACTTTCCAGGTGGATCATTTTGCTGGTCACTTGGCCTCTTGGGTTTACTTTTCAAAGCACTGAGTCATTGCTCAGGATGCTGGGAATTCTGAAATCAAGCTTGGGGCCAAAACCGGAAGCCGCTTTTCACGGCCCGATCGTGACGGATGGACACGGTGCTCACGCTGTCCACCATGACTGTTGACTTGGAGTCCAGCATCCTGCGTGGCAGCTAGCCTGTCCTTGCCACTGGCTCTCAAGGTGACATTGTACTTGTTAATTCTGTTGAGGTTGGGAGGGAGGAACGCCCTCATTTCCCAGGCATCCCTGTGGGAGTTGTTCTGAATAGGTGGCCCTGAAATTGCCCGCGACCTCCATCCCCAGACCAGGCTGTTGCCCCGAGGGGCGGGGGCCAGGGGC